TACCTGCGACTGTTACAATGAAGGCTCGATAATCAGCTCACGGCATATAGGTGTAAGCAGGGGTAAAGTGCTATTTTTACAAGTGGGGGGTGGACCTAACATCCTATAGGAGGGTCCTCACCTCCTCTAGGGTCCGGGGGCATGTTCCCCCGCGAAGATTTTTTTTTAAATATTGAAGTTAAATGCATCAATTGGTGCACTTTGAGAGCAACATTAAGCGGTCTCTGCGTTGTGTTTTGCGTTGTTCATGGATGGATGAGACCCGAGCCAGCATACAGTTTAGACTATTTCCTTTTAATCACTGACAAGCTGACGACAGATATAACAAATCAGTATAACATTTTGTATCCCTCACAGTGACTCCTCTCACATGGAAACATTTACAAAAACAAAAAGGGAAGAGGAACACAATATAAAGGGGGGGTGTACCCACAAAAAGAATCTTCTGAGTACAGTGACTACATTTCAGAAGTTCCGCCCACTGATCTCCGACCTTGTCAGGTATTGAACATAAATAAACGAAGAACACAGAATTAGTGTGATTATACTAATTTAAATGATGTACAAACAAACTTCACTGCATATTTACAACTGTTACAGCGGGTAAGGTCCACAAGCCTAACACACCTCTGGCTCTGAACATAAAATTAAACACAAGTAGGCCACATATAAATAACTATAAACAGTCAGAATGTTTGCCTCAACCATCAATGCATTACATTTATAATAGGCAACAGAGGAGGTGCATCATCATGCACTTACCATTAGACGTCTTCATAACAAAACAATGCGTCAGGTGCAGCCGCGGGGCCGGGCATTTCCGCGCCTTCCTCATCTCCATCCTCCCACGGCTTTTCTTGGTCCTCCTCCTGGTCGGTGACCGTGACACCTTCAGCCTCTGCCTCACGAGGCCTATTATGTGCAGAATCCCTCTCGCTTTCAGGTGGTTTTGATTGAGTGTCCACACGTGGACGTTTAAGGACTAAAAAACGATACATTTTTCACTTTGCTCAACATCCATGTTAGCAAATAATTTGGCGCTCTAGCTAACAGGAAGTCACTCAAGTGTCACAAAGTAATTTAGCCTATGGGTAGGTCAAAAATCTAATGGGTGCTGGTGCTGGCCATAGAGAACCGCAGTGACGCGTCCTATAACCCGGAAGTAAGTTAGCATTTTTACCACGTCCGGTTCCTTCGACAAAAAGCAATGCAATTTCTCCATAGGATTTTGGAAAATAGCTGGAAATAAGGTCTGTGTTTGACACAAATTGAAGAGACAGATCACGTTTTGTTCTACGACATTAAATACATCAGCAGTGACCCCGCTGGTGATTTTTGAAGAGTTTACGTGTCTGAAAAACGATAGTTGTTAACATGTGGCTGAATAGGACTACAGAAGTTGTCCAGGCCGTTTCACGTCATTACACCGAACACGTAAAACACTCCCGCTAAGTTTGTTTGCTCTGTTCTGCTTGAAAGCAAGTACCTGCCTCCTGCAAACTGTTCAAACAAACGCTTCAACTTGTACCATTTAGAATCTGTAGTTTTGAATATGGATCTTAAGTTGGCGTGACGCTGAAGCAGCGACCCTGCTGTAGTTCCTTTATAGCATAACGTTAGCATTTTGCTTCTGGCGATTAGATTTATGATTCGAAAATTATAAAAGTAGGGTAGACATGTGGAGATTATCCGGCTGAACAAAACGTGATCCGTCTCCTAAATGTGTGTCAACCACAGACCTTATTTCCAGCTATTTTCCAAAATCCTATGGAGAAATTGCATTGCGTTTTTGACGAAGGAACCGGAAGGAGTTTACTTCCGGGTGTTAGGACGCGTCACTGCGGTTCTCTATAGGCCTAATCATATCACCTGTGTTGGCTTTATGTTTTTGGTCAAAAATTAGTTTGTTTCACATTTGCATTGATCTAATCAATCATTTTTCTAATTTAATTTAATAAAAATAATAATAATAATTGATTAAAAAAAAAAAAAAAAAAAAAAAACATATTTCTTGGGGGTGCTTAGGGGGTGCTTTGGCAATCCCTAGCTCCCCCCTGGCGCCGCCCCTTGTGTAGGACATATCTATTCATACAATACCTGATACATGTGATGTTATATTGTATTATTGTAGGTGTTAATATTATAAATTCAACATTGTATGGCACTTATTGCATATATGTCACATAGTGAGGCTATTACACCAATTTAAGCATTTATTTATGAAGAGAACATTTGAAATCTCATTCCCTGCAAGTCATTTTCAAATATGTAATGCTATTTGAACCTCTGAAAGACTAGTTTTTACATCCTTTTAATTGATATTACTTGTAAAATGTAGTTGAGTTGATAATATTCATTTGAAAGTACGGCCTTCGAAACTGTAATAAATGATATGTAAAATAATTAGGACTTAAACTTTAAGGACTCAAAGATGACATTTCCTGCTTTGAAAGATAAAATAACCAATGTCAGAGTTAACATATGTACCATTACTTATTACCTTTGTATTAACATGTAGACATCATTTGTATGTTGTACCCCCAGGAGGTGGAACACGTTTAAGCAAGTTTATATACCCCTGTTCTTTACATTTAAGGTTTAACTTAGCATAGCATATGCTCAAAGGTTCAGATAGAGGTGGGAGAAGTACTCAGATCTTGTACTTAATTAAAAGTAGAAGTACCAGAGTGTAGGAATACTCTGTTACATGTAAAAGTCCTGCATTCAAAATGTTACTCAAGTAAAAGTAGAAAAGTATTATCATCTAAAAATACTTAAAGTACCAAATGTAAAAGTACTCACTATGCAGATTGGTCCATTTCAGAATAATATATATGATATGTTTTATAATGATTGATCATGAAAGTGTTCTCAAAGCTGGTAAAGGTGCAGCTAGTTTGAATGACTTTGTATACTGCAGGGTAGCTTGTGGATTTACTCCAGGTGGAACTAAAGTCTGATTTAACACTTGATTATATGTAGTTATAGTAAAGTAACTAAAGGTATTAGGGTGATTTACACAATCTTTCCAGGGACTACAGATGAAAAATAGCCTTTTGCCTAACTCTGGCACATTTACAGAAATGTTGATTAATGTGCACTGTCCCTAGGGCTGTGCAATTAATCGTATTTTAATCGCAATTACGATTTTGGCCTGCCACAATTACGAAAACAACATAATCGAAAAAAACAATTATTTAGCTTTGCTAGGTTGTGACTGCACTGCAACATATTTGATCTAATTAATTTTGGTCTCATTTATTTGTATTTATCATATTTATATATGTTTATTAGCTTGGGGAAGTGCGCTCCAAAATATTTGTTGATCTTGTTTATTGGTATTTATTATTTTGATATTATTTATTTAAATGTATCATTTATTTTATTTATTTTTGTATTGGTTTTTCAGTTGAATTATACGTTCAGGGTAATCAACAGTTAAAAAGATACTGTTCAAATTATTATTTGTATTTGTTTTAAAGTTCAATAAATGGATTTTGTCAATGAATAATCGTATTTAATAATCGTGATATCAATTATTGACCCAAATAATCGTGATTATGATTTTTGCCATAAGCGCACAGCCCTAACTGTCCCTGTTAAATAAATGAATACATAAAATACATTTAATGAAGTAAAAGTACACAATTTACCTCTGAATTGTAGTGGAGTAGAAGTACTTTCAAAGTAGCATACAATGGAAATACTCAAATAAAGTACAAAGTATCTCAAAATTGTACTTAAGTACAGTATTGAGTAAATGTACTTACTTCCCACTTCTGCTTTTAGATAAACGGGATAATGAGTCAAATAAAAATATCTTCCACTGAAATCTTGTAGAGTTCAAGTATAAGCAGTGGCGGCTCCAGAGTATTTTTGTTGGGTAATGTATGGTAGGGCTAACCCATACAGTGGTGGGGCTCAAGTCTGTATTTGCAATGTAATTACATACACGCTATATTGCCCCCCTTGACAGTGAAACGCCACGCGTGAGGTTTAGATTATTTCCCTGTCTCAATCCAAATTGAACTGTATGAAATAAAAAGGCACATTTGTCTTGTAGTAAATAAAAAGGGCGACCTGGAGCCAATCCTGCAATTTCCCCATAGGTGAAAAAGTTGTCATGCTGAAAACCCAACCCCTGCAGGGGGGTCTGGGGGGATTATCCCCCAGGAGATTTTTTGAAATACTAACATAAAATACACATTCTGGTACTCTCTTGAGAAGAAAATAAATACATCTATTACTACACGACATATTTATGCAATTTTTGTGTTTTGTTACTTTGTTTTGAAAGCTGAACCTGCTGCTCCTCACAGAGAGAAGAGGGAAGAGGCTGTGTGAATTACTTTACATTGTGGATAAGGGTGGATAGCCCCCATTGTTCTGTGTGTCAAAATGAAAGACAGCCCACACACCTATCAATCATCAAACCGTGGGGTCTTATTTCATTACGTGTTGATTTCTATCAACACGTAATGTTGTATCCATGGATGTATAAAGAGCATTTCTACCGCAAAATTATTCTCCGTCGGGACTTCCTGGAACAACACCACGGCGTTATCGTGATTCTGATTGGCCAGAAGTCGACATTATCAAAGATGTTTTATTGAGAAGACGATCACTACGTGACAAAAGTTTTCAAAACCGTTTCTAGTCTTCGGCTACTGAAATCAATCTTACTAACTGCTGTCTTTGCAATTTATTCGGCGCGAGTTGGCGGACTTTCTTTTGCTTACTTTGACATCATTTTTCATGGTGGGGCTAAGGTGGAGCTAAGCCATTTCTTGGTATGGCTGTAGCCTACCCCAGCCACACCCTGAAGCCACCACTGAGTATAAGAAAGCATACAATTAAGTTACCCAAATAAGGTCGAAGTACATCAGAATTGTTACCTCCAACTAACACTGAGATGATCATGTTTGGCCATTATACATCCATGGTTTGGCCGAGCAGACCTCCGGCAGAGCGCGAGCAGGTGTTCTGTGTCTCTGCCGCTGGAGGGCGACAACATCCGGGCCACGCAGTAGGGCTTGGGAAGTAAGAAGAGTCGCCCCACCAACAACCACAACAATGAAGGCTATCATTCAGAGGGTCACCAAGGCCAGCGTGACAGGTGAGCTTCCGTTTTAAAATGAGTGAAGGTGGCATGTTTTGACGCCTTTTATAATACCTCTAAACCGAGCCTGTTAGCTTTCATGTGTTATCGTCGGTGTTCATGCATGTTAGCTAACCTAGCTAGGATAGCATTAGCACCTCCAGCTAAAATGAAGGAGGCTCCAGGGCCAGCCAGGCGTGTCTCTGAACGGAACCCAAACAGAGAATTGCTGTCTGGGGGTTCAAGCTAGAAAGAAACCATTGACTGTGTATATATATACATACATGCATACATGCATACATGCATACATACATGCATACATGCATACATGCATGCATACATGAACCAGGGAATGTTATTTCACCCTGAATGACTGACTGACAGCTGAATGACAGCCCTATCTGCTCCACACACAGTCTGTCACCCGTCAGTCATGGCTGCTTGTCACGTCAATCACATCAATCTATACATTAATGCACAATTTACTATTCACAAAGTTTTGCATATCTGTCCAAAATAAATTTCAATGTTAACATTGAAAGAACAGCTGCAATATTGTTTGTCTATCTAAATGACTAAATGTATAATCTATATTTAGCTTTAACTCTTCCAATGCTTCTTTAGTAGGGTCAATTCCATGTTAAATCTTAAAGGACATCTATTTCACTTGATTATTAATACAGTATTTGTTTCAACCCTAAATCTTCTATTATAGCACAACAAAATACATTTGTGGCAAATGGGAACTGCATAAAAACAATAGCATATTCATTGGATGTAAAATTCAGAATATGACAGTAAAAATACATTTTAGTTAATCGCTTTAACGGCTAGCAAGATTCCATTGTCAAACCATAAGCTACAAATCAGGGACTTTTATTTGTATAACATATCCTTATTATTTCAGATGAAGTATATTAAATACTAATGCACAATCTTAAAGAGCTTGCCTATGGAAGTCAGCCAGCTTTATTGAGAATTTGTCAACAAAAAATGTCATTACATTTGACCGAAAACTGCCCCCAATGGATTTAAACACATCTGCATAGAAAGCATAACATTAAACAAGGAAACAATACCATTTTATAATAAACCACATCTCAAAAGTATCACTCAAGATATTTAAATCTTTAAAGATATAAAAAAAACATTTAATATTTTTAAAAGATAGACATTTTATTGATACACTGAAAGGACATGAGGCAAGGCAAGTTTTATTTAAATAGCACCCTTCAAAACAAGAAAAACATTAAGAGCATTAAGAAAAATGGAATTTGAAAACAGACATTAAAAAGCAAAGAGAATAAACATGAATAACACAGGTAAAAATACATGAATAAAAGTTACAGTGCAGTTTAAGATATGAATAGTTCAATTAAAAGCAGCAGCAAAAAGAAAAGTCTTCAGCCTGGATTTAAAAGTAGTCAGAGTTGCAGCGGACCTTCAGGTTTCTGGGAGTTTGTTCCAGATATTTGGAGCATAATAACTGAACTTCTCCATGTTTAGTTCTGACTCTGGGGACAGAAAGCTGACCAGTCCCTGAAGACCTGAGAGTTCTGGATGGTTCATAATTTAGCAGGAGGTCAGAAATGTATTTTGGGCCTAAACCATTCAAAGCTTTATAAACCAGCAGCAGTATTTTGAAATCTATTCTTTGACACACAGGAAGCCAGTGTAAAGACTTCAGAACTGGAGTGATGTGATCCACTTTCTTAGTGTTAGTGAGGAACCAGTGTAAAGACTTCAGAACAGGAGTGATGTGATCCACTTTCTTAGTGTTGGTGAGGAACCAGTGTAAAGACTTCAGAACTGGAGTGATGTGATCCACTTTCTTAGTGTTAGTGAGGAACCAGTGTAAAGACTTCAGAACAGGAGTGATGTGATCCACTTTCTTAGTGTTGGTGAGGAACCAGTGTAAAGACTTCAGAACAGGAGTGATGTGATCCACTTTCTTAGTGTCAGTGAGGAACCAGTGTAAAGACTTCAGAACTGGAGTGATGTGATCCACTTTCTTAGTGTCAGTGAGGAACCAGTGTAAAGACTTCAGAACTGGAGTGATGTGATCCACTTTCTTAGTGTTGGTGAGGAACCAGTGTAAAGACTTCAGAACAGGAGTGATGTGATCCACTTTCTTAGTGTTAGTGAGGAACCAGTGTAAAGACTTCAGAACAGGAGTGATGTGATCCACTTTCTTAGTGTCAGTGAGGAACCAGTGTAAAGACTTCAGAACAGGAGTGATGTGATCCACTTTCTTAGTGTCAGTGAGGAACCAGTGTAAAGACTTCAGAACAGGAGTGATGTGATCCACTTTCTTAGTGTCAGTGAGGAACCAGTGTAAAGACTTCAGAACTGGAGAGATGTGATCCACTTTCTTAGTGTTGGTGAGGAACCAGTGTAAAGACTTCAGAACTGGAGTGATGTGATCCACTTTCTTAGTGTTGGTGAGGAACCAGTGTAAAGACTTCAGAACAGGAGTGATGTGATCCACTTTCTTAGTGTTGGTGAGGAACCAGTGTAAAGACTTCAGAACAGGAGTGATGTGATCCACTTTCTTAGTGTCAGTGAGGAACCAGTGTAAAGACTTCAGAACTGGAGTGATGTGATCCACTTTCTTAGTGTTGGTGAGGAACCAGTGTAAAGACTTCAGAACAGGAGTGATGTGATCCACTTTCTTAGTGTCAGTGAGGAACCAGTGTAAAGACTTCAGAACAGGAGTGATGTGATCCACTTTCTTAGTGTTGGTGAGGAACCAGTGTAAAGACTTCAGAACTGGAGAGATGTGATCCACTTTCTTAGTGTTAGTGAGGAACCAGTGTAAAGACTTCAGAACTGGAGAGATGTGATCCACTTTCTTAGTGTCAGTGAGGAACCAGTGTAAAGACTTCAGAACAGGAGTGATGTGATCCACTTTCTTAGTGTTGGTGAGGAACCAGTGTAAAGACTTCAGAACAGGAGTGATGTGATCCACTTTCTTAGTGTCAGTGAGGAACCAGTGTAAAGACTTCAGAACAGGAGTGATGTGATCCACTTTCTTAGTGTTGGTGAGGAACCAGTGTAAAGACTTCAGAACTGGAGAGATGTGATCCACTTTCTTAGTGTTAGTGAGGAACCAGTGTAAAGACTTCAGAACTGGAGAGATGTGATCCACTTTCTTAGTGTCAGTGAGGAACCAGTGTAAAGACTTCAGAACAGGAGTGATGTGATCCACTTTCTTAGTGTTGGTGAGGAACCAGTGTAAAGACTTCAGAACAGGAGTGATGTGATCCACTTTCTTAGTGTCAGTGAGGAACCAGTGTAAAGACTTCAGAACAGGAGTGATGTGATCCACTTTCTTAGTGTTGGTGAGGAACCAGTGTAAAGACTTCAGAACTGGAGAGATGTGATCCACTTTCTTAGTGTTAGTGAGGAACCAGTGTAAAGACTTCAGAACTGGAGAGATATGATCCACTTTCTTAGTGTCAGTGAGGAACCAGTGTAAAGACTTCAGAACAGGAGTGATGTGATCCACTTTCTTAGTGTCAGTGAGGAACCAGTGTAAAGACTTCAGAACTGGAGAGATGTGATACACTTTCTTAGTGTCAGTGAGGAACCAGTGTAAAGACTTCAGAACAGGAGTGATGTGATCCACTTTCTTAGTGTCAGTGAGGAACCAGTGTAAAGACTTCAGAACTGGAGAGATGTGATCCACTTTCTTAGTGTCAGTGAGGAACCAGTGTAAAGACTTCAGAACTGGAGAGATGTGATCCACTTTCTTAGTGTTGGTGAGGAACCAGTGTAAAGACTTCAGAACTGGAGAGATGTGATCCACTTTCTTAGTGTTGGTGAGGAACCAGTGTAAAGACTTCAGAACTGGAGAGATGTGATCCACTTTCTTAGTGTTGGTGAGGAACCAGTGTAAAGACTTCAGAACAGGAGTGATGTGATCCACTTTCTTAGTGTCAGTGAGGAACCAGTGTAAAGACTTCAGAACTGGAGAGATGTGATCCACTTTCTTAGTGTCAGTGAGGAACCAGTGTGAAGACTTCAGAACAGGTGTGATGTGATCCACTTTCTTAGTGTTGGTGAGGAACCAGTGTAAAGACTTCAGAACTGGAGAGATGTGATCCACTTTCTTAGTGTCAGTGAGGAACCAGTGTAAAGACTTCAGAACTGGAGAGATGTGATCCACTTTCTTAGTGTCAGTGAGGAACCAGTGTGAAGACTTCAGAACAGGTGTGATGTGATCCACTTTCTTAGTGTTGATGAGGAACCAGTGTAAAGACTTCAGAACTGGAGTGATGTGATCCACTTTCTTAGTGTCAGTGAGGAACCAGTGTGAAGACTTCAGAACAGGAGTGATGTGATCCACTTTCTTAGTGTCAGTGAGGAACCAGTGTAAAGACTTCAGAACTGGAGTGATGTGATCCACTTTCTTAGTGTTGGTGAGGAACCAGTGTAAAGACTTCAGAACAGGAGAGATGTGATCCACTTTCTTAGTGTCAGTGAGGAACCAGTGTAAAGACTTCAGAACTGGAGTGATGTGATCCACTTTCTTAGTGTTGGTGAGGAACCAGTGTAAAGACTTCAGAACAGGAGAGATGTGATCCACTTTCTTAGTGTTAGTGAGGAACCAGTGTAAAGACTTCAGAACTGGAGTGATGTGATCCACTTTCTTAGTGTCAGTGAGGAACCAGTGTAAAGACTTCAGAACAGGAGTGATGTGATCCACTTTCTTAGTGTTAGTGAGGAACCAGTGTAAAGACTTCAGAACAGGAGAGATGTGATCCACTTTCTTAGTGTCAGTGAGGAACCAGTGTAAAGACTTCAGAACTGGAGTGATGTGATCCACTTTCTTAGTGTCAGTGAGGAACCAGTGTAAAGACTTCAGAACAGGAGAGATGTGATCCACTTTCTTAGTGTTAGTGAGGAACCAGTGTAAAGACTTCAGAACAGGAGAGATGTGATCCACTTTCTTAGTGTTGGTGAGGAACCAGTGTAAAGACTTCAGAACAGGAGAGATGTGATCCACTTTCTTAGTGTCAGTGAGGAACCAGTGTAAAGACTTCAGAACAGGAGAGATGTGATCCACTTTCTTAGTGTTAGTGAGGAACCAGTGTAAAGACTTCAGAACTGGAGTGATGTGATCCACTTTCTTAGTGTCAGTGAGGAACCAGTGTAAAGACTTCAGAACTGGAGTGATGTGATCCACTTTCTTAGTGTCAGTGAGGAACCAGTGTAAAGACTTCAGAACAGGAGAGATGTGATCCACTTTCTTAGTGTTAGTGAGGAACCAGTGTAAAGACTTCAGAACAGGAGAGATGTGATCCACTTTCTTAGTGTTGGTGAGGAACCAGTGTAAAGACTTCAGAACAGGAGAGATGTGATCCACTTTCTTAGTGTCAGTGAGGAACCAGTGTAAAGACTTCAGAACAGGAGAGATGTGATCCACTTTCTTAGTGTTGGTGAGGAACCAGTGTAAAGACTTCAGAACAGGAGTGATGTGATCCACTTTCTTAGTGTTGGTGAGGAACCAGTGTAAAGACTTCAGAACTGGAGTGATGTGATCCACTTTCTTAGTGTTGGTGAGGAACCAGTGTAAAGACTTCAGAACAGGAGTGATGTGATCCACTTTCTTAGTGTCAGTGAGGAACCAGTGTAAAGACTTCAGAACAGGAGTGATGTGATCCACTTTCTTAGTGTTGGTGAGGACTCGAGCAGCAGCGTTCTGAATTAGCTGCAGCTTTCTAATAGATGTTTTAGTGAGACCTGTAAAGACACCATTACAGTAGTCCAGTCTACTAAAGATAAAAGCATGGACAAGTTTTTCCAAATCCTGCTGTGACATTAGTCTTTTAATCCTAGATATGTTCTTTAGGTGATAGTAGGCTGACTTAGTAACTGTTTTAATGTGACTGTTGAAACTCATGATTTCTGGCTTTTTCTGTTGTTTTGAACATTGCCGACTGAAGCTCAACGCTGACTTGTATTCGTTCCTCGTTTATGACCATCTTTGTTTAATTTAAGAAAGTTCTGACACATCCAGTCATTGATGTGTTCAATGCCTTTACTCAGTGTTTGAATTGGATCATAGTCTCCTGGTGAAATGGTTATGTAAATCTGTGTGTCGTCTGCATAGCTATGGTACCTTTACCATTTAGTCAAATCACTTATTTTGTTGAATTCATTTGAGACTCCCTGGCTTGTACCATGATTCTGTTATATTGTTTTTGCAGGGCAATTGTTGTAAAACCTTTTGGTTATAAATAACGTTAACAAAATTGTCTGCATAGCATGTCACTGAATGACCACAGCATCATCTCTCTGTCATTAACCTTTGTGTTCCTACAGTGGGGGACGAGGAGGTCAGTTCAATAGGCCGAGGACTGTGTGTGCTGCTGGGGATCTCAGTGGAGGACACCCAAAAGGATGCTGACTACTTGTGAGTGTTTTTTTGGGGGGGCTTACACCACAAACAGAACTCTGGACTGGATTTGAAATAACTTTTTAGAGACTTTCACCAGAACAATAGTGGTTGCACTGATAAGTTTGGAATTATAAACAGATAAGTGGTATATCAACATAAACATCTTTTAGTTGACCAATCACAGACAGAGTCGTCTAGCTAACCAATCAGAGCAGACTGGGCTCTGGTTTCAGACAGAGGGTGAAAGGAGGTGCTGCAGCACAGGCAGTATGAGAACATTAAAGCATGGAGACATGACACAACAGAAGCACAAAATATGTGTCCTCTTTAAGGAACTAAAACATAAAAACACAAGCAACGTTTTAAAAATGATTCTTTCAGATAGTTAACATCTAAGTCAAATTCCTAGTTGATTTCATGTGTTGGCATGTAAAGCAGCCAAAGCCGGCCTTTAGTCATTCTAAAGTCACAAACTTGCGCAAAAACTTTGAAACATATTCAGCATTAATAGGATAAAACATGCAAATGTCTAGTGTGACCCCTTCAAAATAAAGCTTATAAGTTCTCAGGTTGACCAGAGGGATGTTGAGTATTACACACAGGTTGGTTTCTCGCTTATTTTCTTGTGTGTTTTCAGAGTACGCAAGATCCTGAACCTGCGGCTGTTTGAAGACGAGAACGGGCGAGCGTGGAGCAAAAGCGTCATGGACCGGGACTTTGAGGTGCTGTGTGTGAGCCAGTTCACACTGCAGTGTGTCCTGAAGGGCAACAAGCCAGACTTCCACGCAGCCATGCCTGCAGAGCTGGCCCAGCCCTTCTACAACAGCATCCTGGAGAACATGAGGAGCAGCTACAAGCCCGAGCTCATTAAGGGTGGGTGAAGTGATGACTCAGCCATTTATACTCTTATGTTTTTTTTTTTCTTCTAAAGATTTTTTGGAATCAGTTAAATAATTTCCCCAGTCCCCATTGTCGCAGTTTTTCCTAACATTTAATGTTAGCCCTTTGTCAGATATTGAGTAGTTGATAGCCATTGTTTATTTCATGACATTATGAGGGATTAAGTATAGTATAGCCCAATAGTCAACCTATTTTTATTTTATAATTGTTTTTATTAATTGAAAAAGATAGCTTTGTTAACCTATTCGGGTGACCCCCCCTCAAATAAGAAAATAGATGCGAGTTCATGGCTACTGTAGACAACGTTCTTGTTGCTCTGTGTTGCGTTGTTAATGAGTGAGACACACCGGAGTTGAGGATCTGTGGGGTTTATTCTCTCAAAAATATATAATTTACAATTTAGGCATTTAGGAGACGCCTTATTCCAAAGCGACTTACAATGACCAATTACAGGGACATTCTCCCTGGAGTAACTGAGGGCTGAGTGCCTTACTCAAGGGCACATTAGTAGTGGTGTTACAGGCGGGATTTGAACTCGCAACCTTCCGATCATCAGCCCACCTCACTATCCATGAGACCACCAACATTTAAATTTAAATACAATTTTTTTATTGATTTATTTTTTATGAGATCCATTTGTGGCGGACGATATTTATTTGTGGCGGCCCGCCACAAATAAATCAATGTATGGGAAACACTGGGCTACCAAAAATAAGTTAAATAATTAACCTATTGTTGCAGTTTTTTTTATAAACTAATGTCAGATATTGAGTTTCTTGTAGCCATTGTTTATTGACATTACAATGTATTATGTGTCAGCAGAGTTGAAAAAGTAAGAATTGTTACGGTTGCTGTGAAAAGTGTGGGGGTTCAGAACGAGAGGACGATTTTCAGGAGGTTGGAGGACAAACTGGCTAAAGAAAAACTCAGTTTCTTTCCAGCTGCTTGTTTTGAGCTTATTAAAAACAAAAGTGTTGAGGGTCAACCTTATCCCCACTCACTTACACGTTTGGGTCCGTGCCCTGTCCCCCTCATTTTTAATTGCCTTTATTCCCCCCTTTTTTTCTGTGGATTATCAGTGCTGTGACGCCTCTCTTGTGACGGTGGCGGTGAACTGGGTCAGCCCACCGGGGAGCAGGTGCGGAGAACACCTCGTCCTAGCAAGGGAGGCATAAGGCTTCCTAATTAGTCCCCCCCTCCAGAGAGGAAATATGATGATGCGGCACTTTTTGGCCCACGGCTTTGTGGTGCAGAGGGTGTCATTAATCTCACGGACTCAGTGGAACAGAGAGGTTCAACTTCCTGTCCTCCTACAGCCGCTTTTGTCCCCATCGTCTCAAGGCTCTACGTTATCCTACATCCTTATGGAACATTTACTGCCAACGCAAAACAAACTCCGCTTCTACCTTTAAATATTAGCATGTGGTGTCATTTGGGATGTTTTGAGGACATATTAGGCTCCTCTTCAGGTTCATATTTGTATTTAGTGTCTCTACTGGGACATGTCTCCATACTTTAATATTAAAAAAGCTCTTTATTTTTCTCATACTGCCTGTGCTGCAGCACCTCTTTTCAACCTCTGTCTGAAACCAGAGCCCAGTCTGCTCTGATTGGTTAGCTGGCCGGCTCTGTTGTGATTGGCCAACTGCTTAGAGATGTGCCTGAAGTGTCCTGCTCCTTGGCCTATCACATACAATGTGTTGGAGGGCTAGCCAACAGAAGCGCTATGTCACGGATGTAAACAAAGAGGTCCAATGGAGGCGTTTCAGGCTGGGGGGAACTTTGGGAACCCCAAAAAGCATGATAGGGCCTCTTTAATAAGCTGACTGTGGCACTGATGCTAATCAGTGAAACTTGAGTGGATCTTATGGTTTGACTTTTAATTGCAAGAGGAGTATACTACAATGCAAGATCCCCAGAGCCAGGGTTTATTTGCTTTATCAACATAATCTGAAACGCTATTCAGAGATAACAGTTACCATAACGTTGGGAATGAAATGTCTTTGTTTAGCCAGGCTGTTGTTCTCAGGCTCCCATAAAAGAGTGCGTTGCTCTTGTTGCATCATTTGACTCTTCCTCCGCACAAATAAGTCTCCTTCTTTCAGGCTTGTGAAATGTCTCTGTGATTCTTTCTGTGTTTCCAGATGGGACGTTTGGGGGCTACATGCAGGTCCACATTCAAAACGACGGACCTGTTACCATAGAGCTGAGGTCCCCCACTGGCCCATCGGACCTCAAACAGGTAACTTAGTGAGCATGAAGTAGATTGATAAGAGCAAGTTTTTATTTTCAGCAACATGTTCATTGATTTTGCAACGTTATAAACTTAACACAAAAAGTTAGGAAATGTGTGTTTGGTAGATGATTTCTTTATTGTAACAATGCTTCTTGGCAATACATCTTATTCTGTTGGAAAGCCTGTTTTCATACCTTTCAAATGGTGCCTCATTTGTGACGAACATGCATTTGTGGGAGGAGCAGTAGAGCTGAGTATGTGGGTTGCTCAAATCTCCTGTCAATCCACTTTTCAGTACTCATATTTTACCACTAGGTGGCGATATTTGCTTTGTGTGCAGTACTGCTTGCTTCTCATGTTACACTTGGAGCAGTTTTTTGTAATTGAGAGGCGAAGTCCCTCCCTTTCCGGTGGACCTCCATGGGACCTTATTTCGGAAAAAGTATGTATTGAAGTCAATGGAGAGAGAAAGATTATCTTTCGATCCCGTTTGAATTGTGCCACGAATTACACATATGATATTTGTCAATTTAAAAGATAATTTTGCAAGTCAAAAAAAAAATGTGTCGTAAAACTGTGAAGTAACACATTTTTTTGTGTGAAACCGCTCAATGACCTACATCTCCCGTCTCGCACCACACACCAAGACGGCCGTCACGTTGGCACATTTCACCTCTTTCTTTCAGAATGAGGCGGAAAGTATTAAAAGAGGTGAAAATCACTACAAGTCTGGGCATGTTGAGAGCTGTGCATACACACAAGGGGAGTTAGTCGGTTCCGTAAGAGCCAGCATGCGGGACCGGGATTCTGGGATTTGTAGTCTTTCTAGTTGCATATTTTTCATAGTCTTATATTTCAACAGTTTTACGACAAACTGTGACTTTTTTGACATGGAAATTATTATTTAAGATTGACAAACATCATATGTGTAATTCATGGCACAATTCAAACGGGATCGAAAGATACGTTTTCTCTCCCCATTGACTTCAATACATCATTTTTCCGAAATAAGGTCCCATGGGGCGGAAGTAGATGGGCGGGACTTCGCCTCTCTGATATTAATGATTTGGATATGAAATATTGAACCTGCAAAGATGTTTGGTTGTGAAATTCTGTTTCATTGTCCACCACAACAGACTTTTTTTTTTTTAAATACTTAAAATATATTTATACAGGTAATATACACATTTTGAATATCATGGTATGGTTTTTAAAAGGGGAAATACCAAGACAGTGAACGTTTTTTAATATAAACAAGAAAAGACATGTATGCAAAGTTATTTGATTATTAAAAAGGTACATATACCACTCTTCTGCTATTACTTATCCTAAAGGAAACCTATCATGCTATATTTAAATGATATATTGTAGGGCCATACCTATATAAGGTATATTTATACGTTTCTGTTTTCAAAATACCAAACAGATCATGCATTTTAGCCATGCCTCATTTCGCTCTATGTGCTGTTTGCTGTCTACGGGTCTGATTCTGCTGACCACGCCCCCCTGCAGGAGAGGGGAGACGTGCTCTGATCAGCTGCTGGGCTGTCAGAAGAGGGGGAGAAAAAGAGATCTCCGTCCTCCGTGTTTTATTATATAGAGTCGTTATTCATTTGTTTTAAAGCTCAATAAATAACAAAGAAGACCTTTGACCGGCACTTTTCTCATTTTGTCCGGAAGATTTAAACTTTAACGGACATCTTGACCGGCGAAAGAAACTGAAACTGAAACTCTGCCGCACGGTCCCCTCGTTCCTTGGAAGAGGCGGAGAGGTGGGTGTTTGTCATCTGCTGGTGGACTAACCGGAGAGAATTACAGTGCTCCACATTCCCCTGATAGGTGGAGAGTTGGCCCAATAGCCGTAGCGCCACCGTCCTGACGTCAGGACAGTGTTCAAATCTGGATCAGTTTTTATCAGATCCGTTGCAGCCCCTTTTTTAGAGATTTGGGTATGGAGGAAAATAGAGAGGGTTGTGTTTTCTGACACTTGGTGAGTTCCCTGGAACACCGGGGACACATATTCATGTATAAAAGACGTACAAAAGTGCATTTTGCATGATAGGTCCCCTTTAAAATCATAAAGGATACAAAACACAATAAAGCCCTTAGGGATTTTGACATGATGGTCCTGTAATAAACACTAGTTATACAACAAGATAAATGAACAGAATAACAAGACAGCAAGGAGGAATACAATCAACATTCTAAATAAAAATAGCAGAATCTTCCACAACATTTTGGCCCAAACTCCCAGAGCTTTTAAACTCAACAGACACACTGACAGTGAGCCCCAGGGTGGATATACACGTCTTCATATTTGAATGTTCCTCCACTGTCAAACTCTACTTGTCATTTTGCTCTCTGAATAAATGATGCTAAGCTGAATCTTCAAATATGTCCTGGCATCAGAGCCCTCTTTATTATTCAAGTCAAGCAGAGTAATAGATCTTTATCACAGAAGACATTTTCACTTTGAGTTAGAACTAATAACATATACGACCTCTTTGTAACAGAAATTGAGTGCCAAGTCAAATTTAAATGTTAAAAGGATTAATTAAACTGGAGATTCACTCCAATATATTGGTGCAGGAATGAGCCCCAAAAGCCGGAAATGAGTTGGCTCTGTACTAGGGATGGGAATTTGAAAGCAAATGTATATTCGAATATTCGACCCCCAAAAAAACGGTTAACCGATTAACCGAAATGTACATATCCTATAAAAAAAAAAAAAAGAATGTGGGAATTTCTTTTACAAAAAAATAAATAATTAATTAATTTTGAAAAATAAATAAATACATGTTCAAATAAGTATAGAAACCAAGTCGAATTTGTCAAATGTATTGAACTGGTGATCACAGTTTGAACAGTTGACAGCTATAGGCCTACAGCTTTCATGCTTAAAACATAACTTGGTTTTTAAATGAAAGAGGGATCATACACGAAGAACATAACGGGTTAGGGTAACGTAACTCTATCACAACAGAGATCAACAACCTGTAACAGGGCCTATGCACAGAATGCAGCTATTCAATACTCATTCTTCTTTAAGAATATGAGCATGTCTACTCAGGGGAGAGGCGGGTGCGGAGACGATTCACAATCAGGCCAGCTGTAGAGAAGACCCTCTCAGCTGGAATTTGGGCATAAGATGAGGTTTGAGTCTGCGTGATCTGCGTGTAGGGAGGGGCAGCAGCCATATCGTTAGCTAGAACTAGATCTGATGGATTTGGACATAAACGCGAGTGAAGTATAACCGGACGCGAGAGAGAGATCAGCACCTGCAGCTCTGCCCGCTGTGAGGGACCGGTGAGCGGAGCAAAACACACCTTTAGACCTAACACACTTAGCTATGGCACTGTCGTATACATTGAATTATTCCATTTGATAATATGTAATCAACTTAGGCACCCCTCCCAAAAAAAAAATAATTACAATAAAAATATTCATAACTCATATTCGAATACCTGAATAATTTCGAATATTAATCGTTCCCATCCCTACTCTACCTCTGTAGTCAATTTTCAATCTCTGCTTGATGCACCTGGCTATTTTAGCTGCTACTAGCATAACAAATGCAGATTCTGACACAATCTCAGCTGTCGATACAGTGGTGCAGCCCTAAAACCCAGAAATGAGCATTTGACCTCTTCTGGTTTCCTTGTCTCGAAGTCAACATTTTTCGAATGGGTTTTTGGTAAGATGCCTGGACTATATAGATATTTAAGTTGTATTCTAGGACATAAGATACATCACTTGAAGTTCCTCAGCTTGTGTCATCTAAACGGCGATTGTTAACAAGTGCCTAAATGAGACTACCAAACGTCATCTAGACGAACCTAAGCCACCTTTAGCTTAGCGATGGTGATGTGCAGCCATGCAAGCCCTGATGTAGTTTGGTAATAGCCCAACGTTAGCTTTTTACTTTTGGAAATTGCATTTAAGCTTTAAAAAACATAAAAGTGGTGTTAGTATGTGGCAAATCATGTAAGAATTATAAACACGTGTTTGCCACAGATCTTATTTTCTTCTTTTTTGTCAAGGGAACCAAGAGAGATGCCTACACCAATACATCATTGCCGCAACACTCTATTGTGCATGGTGTTAATACAATTGTTTTTCTTGCAGATAACTATATAGGTATTTATAGTAATTGTGTTATATGTTTATTATTTAAATAGTTGTTTCCCTTTCCTGTAGTGTGTTCTATAGGTTTTTGTGCATGTAAATGGTCTGCAAAGACTAAAATCCCTGTGTTCCCTCCAGAGGGAGTTTCTCTCCCACACTGCCTGAAACGCCTCCATTGGACTCCTTTGTTTATTTCCGTATAATAATGACATCACCACGTAACACTCGTGCCTGTATTGGCTAGCGTACACATTGTACATTATATGCTGAGGGGCAGGACATTTTCGACACATCTTTAAGCAGTTGACCAATCACAACAGAGCCGGCCAGCTAACCAATCAGAGCAGACTGGACTCTGGTTTCAGACAGAGGGTGAAAAGAGGTGCTGCAGCACAGGCAGTATGAGAAAAATAGAGAGCTTTTTGAACATTAAGCATGGAGACATGTCCCATAGAGACACTACATACTGATATGAACCTGAAACTGAGCAAAATATGTCCTCTTAAATAAATGAAATCTACACCAATGTTTACTTTCACCTCTAGATACAGTATCTCTTAAGCTACCATTTGTAAACACCAGCCTCGTATAAAAACAAATTCTGATGTCTGTGCCCCTGAAAGACTGTCCCTTGCGTGGACCGTGGCCACAGGCCGGGCGTTGGCTGCTCTCCCCTTGGTGTACTTGGCTCTCTAGCCCAAAGGGAGGGATATTAAGCAGTCCTCAGAATTGTAATCTTGACTGTTTGGGATGTTTTGCTGTGGGGGCTGAGGAGCCAAAGCCAAGGCCAAAGATGAGGGATAAAAGACCAGCCAATAGGCTAAGCTTGGCACGAGGGGGGAAATGAAGCAATGGGCCAACAGACACTGTTCCTTTCTTTCCATGAATCAGGGATTTAGTCCACTGCAGGGTCAAGCGGCCAGCAAACAATGGTGTTATCCAGAGCAATGAAAATACTCCTGTTGGGATGTTCTCTGTGGATCAATAGCAGAAGGGTCTTTATGGAGGTTGTTGTGTATTTTGTTTAGGACTCTAGGCTGAAGCCGAACACTGGAATGATGTAATGTGCAATCATGTTTTGCTATTTTTTTATCAAAGCGGGATTCTAGTTTTGCTTGACTGTAGCTTTTCCATTAGAGTTGAAATGTTGATTTATGGCAAAACGAGGAACTTGTGTTTGTTCAGTGTTATATCATCAACAGAGTCGGCATGTTAATGGGTTCAAATGGGAATAGAACAGATTTTTCTTTGTCCTCTTTAAATAATGTAATGTCTTACGCAATGCTTTGGATTTTAAGATGACATTTAGTTCATAAATATTTCCCGGGCAGCCATTAAAGTTTCAGCCTCTGTGCTTACAGATGGCGGGTAGCATACCTACTTCATCATCGCTGTTGTGCTGTTTCATGGAGCGTGAAGAATACAATGAAAAAAGTTTGATTCGAGTAGTGACTGGAGAGGCACTGGGAAGGCTTTATTTTTGAGCGCAGGCAGTCACAACAAAAGACTCATTGAAGTGATCATTGGATGGCCAATAATAGCTTGTAATGAGGACAGAATAGAAGCGTTTCATCAACAAAGAGAAGTCAGATGTGGAGTGTCGGTCTGTGCGCTGACGTGTGCCTCCTCCTTTGTTTCATATTTCTAAATGCATGTCGGAGCCTCTCTGTGAAAAGTGAACACGCTGCAAATGTCATGATCTGCAATTCATGATGCAGCATGTTCAGGGTGTGTGCCTCCAACCAGTAACCCCCCCCAGGAGCCCAAGACTGATTTAAAATGACCATTCAGCCATATACAAAATCCAACAATTGCACACTAAATGTTAGCCTTTGCAGACCATCTACATGCACAGAAGACCTATAGAACACTCTACAGCAAAGGAAGAACCCAGAAAGCATAAAGGGTTTCAAGGCAGAATCCACACATTTCCATTCATTGATCATTTATGCTATATAAATGTCTCCAATATATTTGTCGTCATCTCCCTTGAAGTGGTTGTACATGTTAATGCCACATTGTTCTGTTAGATCCATTTTTTTTTCTGAAGCAAGCCTTCCTTTGTATCCTTAGCTTTCAAAGCAGGAGAAGCAGCAGCAGCGGAAAGAGAAGACGCGCTCCAAGGGCCCCTCAGAGTGCAGGGAAAAAGGAGCGGGGCGGTCCCGACCGGACCCCAACGCCAGCAGTGGAGCCGACGGAGATGTGTCATCAGAGAGGGAGCCTTAGGTCAGCAGGGTGAGGAAGACTCACATAAACACATGCAGTCACACATGCTCATACACACACAGGGTGTCTGCAGGTCCTTGAACATCGTGTTGTGTTCTTGTGGGGATTTCAATTGACCGTGCAGTGAAAGCGTTTTATTGTCTTAAGCTATTTCATTTGTAAATATATAAGGTAAATATAAAAACGTTGCCTGTAGCGTGCATGTGTGTGTGAGGCGCTTCCCGTGCGGACCCGTGGTAAGCTGCAGTGAGCATCGTAAAACACACTTTTTCATACTCAACAGTAACACAAAACAAAACTCACTAGCTTGGTTGAGTCTTTCCATTGTTCACCAACCATCACCAACTCTGGTTTGGTCAAAATAATTAAGACAAACCATTCAATTAGTAAAAAGTTAAATTCCACCAAAAAACAAGCATTTCTCTTTAAGAAATCTGTAATACATTTGTCACTTGTAAAACTAGACCTTACTTAAATATTTGAAGATGCAGAGTTGGGTGATAATGCTTTTACGGGACATGAGTGCATAGAGTCAAAGAGGACAAGTGCATTCAGATAAAAAGAAAGAAATAGCAGAAGAGAGATGAAAGATAAAAGTCCCTTAAATTAACTGAAATTTGCCAAAACCCTGACAAAGACAAAATACACTTTATTGAGAACTCTAAAGTTGTTTTCAAGAGATTTTACACTGTTATAAAATACAGTGTTAAAAAAAGGTTCTCTCCCATTTAGGGTTGCAAAGGGAAGGAACACCTCCGGTAGATTTCCAGGAGATTTTCTTTTAAACTAGGTGGCGTGTTTTGGTTCAAAGTATGCCCATATAACCATTTCATTGAACTGTAACCACATGTGCAGATCATCTGTGAGGATCACATTAAATAGGAATCCAGCCTCTACGTGCACAGTGCGTAGTCCCATAACATGTGCAGCACACTGCTGCACTGTGAGACAAATGACTATATGCTTCAAGAAAAGAGTATTATATATTGAGTATATTACTGGAGATGAACATATTTTATTTGTTTTAATGGTATTTCAATGTACCATCAGATGGTTTTCTTCTGCAAAGTACACTGTAAGTAGTGAACTCTTTTGCTAGTTTTTGCTTGCTAGCTGTTACCATGTGGCATGTTGCTTGATTGAGGCTAATTGAGACGTTTAAATTCAACCATTTCCATTCATTTGCTGTTGTAAAACATTCATTTTATTGGTCTTTCATTTAAAACTGGGCCGTTATCGGTTTGAATTTTGCTAGCTAGCTAACTCACCATGAAGGACATTTTACATTGTTAGTTTTGGACAAGATATTGGATTATTTGTGCTTATTATATGGGATCTGTATTTGGTATATATTGACATTTGAATCCTTTTATTTCTTATTAATTCCCATTAAAGGTTTTCACCTTTAATATTCCCGGACATTTGCAACACTACTACAATTGATCATATTAGTTTAACTTGTCATGTACAATATGGCAGTTCTTAATGTGCAGTGAGAGGGGAACACAATGACCTCCAGATCTCTGTTTTCTATCCTCTTTAGTGCCCGGCCGCTCTCTTTTATTTGTTGACATTGTAATGAAACTTAGCAACGCTCATGATAAACAGACCTGTTTGCTCGGGTGCACCTAAGAGATACTTTTTTCTGTCGGCTCCATTTATTTCTCAGTTTGAATCCCCTTCCTGTCCAGTGAAAGTCATGTATTTCCAGATGTCTTGATTTTGAATGTTTGTGATAAACTGAAAGATGAAGTACTCCTTTATGTCTTGGAAAATTCTCCTAATTCACAAGCTAAATCAAATCAAATAAAAGACTTTGGATCAGAGGGAAAATGGTTTCAAAGCTGAAAACAGGACTGTCTTTCTAAGAAACTCATTCAAAGTTTTAGGAGATTCTTAGTTCTCCCAGGACAGTGACAACGCTAAAAACAAATGATGATCTTATATAATAGAATATTATGCTTTGCTGTACATTTAACTACCCAACAGTATAAAAAGGAGTTGGAATTACCACAACCTTAACACTCTACAACAATAAAATGCAAAAAAAGTGGTGCAGGAGGTGAGTCCTAAAACCGGAAATGAGTTAGCATTTTACCACTTCTGGTTCCCTCGTCTTAAAGTCAACCCCTTTCAAACATGTTTTTGGTTAGAAGCCTGAAAAAAGGTCTGTGGTTAACACAAGCCTCAGAGTTTTTTGTTTTGTACTACAACATCAAATACATCAGTAAATACCACATCGTGAATGTCCGAACCTCCTGTGAGTCATACAAACAGCGGTTGCTATCAAATGACTAAATGAGACTGCAAAACATCACTACGCCAAACATTAGCTACCTTTAGCTTAGCGGTGGTGATGTTTGCTTGTAAAGTTAGCTTTTTACTTCTGGCGGCTGCAATAAAACTTCAGAAATCATGAAAGTCATGTTTAATATGTGGAGATTATCTGGCTTAACAAAGTGTGTGAGTGGTATATTTGTGTGTTTGCCATAGATCTTATGGTCTTATATTCTGAAACTAATAGAAAAATCGAACTGCTGTTGTCGATAAAGCTCTTGCTCACGTTACAAACAAACATTGTGGTAGCATGGCTGCCCAGCACCACCGCTAAGCTAAAAGTGGCTAATGTTAAGCGTAATGACCTTAAGTAGTCTCATTTAGTCCGTTTTTATGACATACTGTACAGGCGCTTTAGACCTTCACCAGTGGGGTATTCACTGATATATTTTATCGAGTAGAACAAAACATAAAAATCGAGCAATGTTAACTTCTGGGTCGTTCTACAAAAGTACGTCATCCCTGCATCACTATGTTTTGCTGTAGTAATATTAATCCCAAAACGTGATATAGAAAGTAAAACACCGACCTGGAAGATTTGACTGCACAAGTACATTCTGCTGATAATACATTCAAAATTAAGTAAGATTTATGTATTTTCACAGTGTGACACTTTTAATCAGGTAGCGTCACTATACATCCCCTACCACTGTTCTGTTTGTTTCTCATTCTGTGGCTCACATTGCGGGGTGGGGGTTATTTGTTTACTATTGAAAAAACAGAGGAGTTGTTGGAGAATGGAGACGGGGAGGCAGTGAGTCAGCTCCGTCTGTGTCCCCTCGACCCTGCTGAGGCTGCTACTGCACCCCTCCTCTCCCCGTGTCAACTCTGTCGTCCCGTCTCAGACTCCTCTACTGCAGGGGGGGCCCATACCCTCTAATCTCAAAGTGCATGTTGGGTAATGCATGGAAACTTCAGCACCTCGTTACATAAGACATTTATGTCTGACAGAGAGCAAGATCGAGGAAGATGGGAGGAATGATAAAAAGAAAGCAAAAAATATTAGAGAGAGTCATTTGTTTGTTTTTTAAATCTCAGCGAGGAAGAGCACACGCAGCATTTCTGGAAATGTGTGGTACGTTGGAAGAAGAGGGAACGTTTGACTGTAAGAGATATGTCCTATGAGGGGCTTGTTTGGCTCCGGCGCTGCATATTTTAAAGAGAGAACTGGTGTTCCCGAGGTTTGCTTTGCATGACTTAAACATGAGCGGGGTGCTCTTTTCCGATGAGTAATTTGTGATGGTCTTCCATTATCTTCTCTGGCTTCCTTTCTTCATGGCTACAATGTTCTGACGTTGATATAAACAGCTTACAAGGACCTTTCTGCTGCTCGACAGGATGCAGTAAACAATTCTGGTCTAATGGTTTGAATATCAGCTATTACAGATCTGAGATATACAGTATTAAAAAAAGAACGGCCATTTAAGAAACATTTAATACACGGCTTGGTTGAATAATTGATTCTGATTGGTCCATTTGGACATTCAGCGGTCTGTTCTTTTTTGATAGCAGACCGTTACTAAGGACACTCTGATCAAGGGACCTTGAGCATTCATATCAATCCTCAAAAGGAAGTCCAGTCAATTTAGCATTAGCTGTTTCCCCTCCATCATAAAACACCATGGAATACTTTGGGAATCTTATTTTTATGTAGGGCACGAAACTTGGATTCATGTTGGCTGAGCTGTCCCCAGTAAAGACATTTTAAAAAGGACAAGAAAATAGGGCAAGAAAAGGAAAGAGGATATAAGACAGAGGGCTGGACGTCAGAGAAGTAAGCAGAAGACGACAGACAGGAAGTAAACACTAAAGGGAACACAGTATGGGCTCTGGCAGTGTTTAAAGACTGATTCATGGAAAATAAAATGTGAACAGACCTGGACAGTTACAGAAAACCCCCATCAGTGCTGCGGTCGGTTTTAGTTTACGTTGCTTTGCTACATTTCTAGCCGTTGCTTCGCAGTGGAACGAACTATTTTGTCTAGCAATAGAGAACCGCAGTGACGCGTCCTAAAACCCGGAAGTAAACTTCTTCCGGTTCCTTCGACAAATGCAATGCAATTTCTCCATAGGATTTTGGAAAATAGCTTGAAATAAGGTCTGTGGTTGAGACACATTTAAGAGACGGATCACGTTTTGTTTAGTCGGATAATCTCCACATGTCTACCCGTCTTTTCTAATTTTCTAATCATAAATCTATCGATCATAAATCTATCGATCATAAATCTATCGATTAGATTTATGATTAGAAAATGATAAAAGATGGGTAGACATGTGGAGATTATCCGACTAAACAAAACGTGATCTGTCTCTTATTTATTGCAAGTAAGGAAGTTGTTGTACATGAGTTTTGGTCTTAATATGCGCTGCTCAATATGGGCCTATAGGAAAATCTCTTAACTAATGGCCTATTACTTGTAGAATATGGTCATGTAGAATAAGGCATTAATAAGTGTTTTATAATGACTAATAAAGAGCCAATATACTGCTAATGTGCATGTTAATTAACAACTAGTTGATGGTGAATGTGTGTACCTTAATATAAAGTGTTACCAAAAGGTTTATATCAAATTATTGATTTATTTAGTAATAAGTGGGATTATATGTATGAGCGTCATCATAGCAAAAAGAACCCGACAGGGGTGCGATCACCTTGTCAGGGTTCCCTATGCTACATGGCCGGTTTGCTGCTTATTATCCATTACTAATTTGTTTGCTTTCACAATTGTGTGCCCTTTTTTTATTTAAACAAACTGTACAGTGTTATGATAAATGCTAATAAATCAAATCGATTTTAATCTGTTTCCTCTCGTGCAGATTTAAAAGCGTGGGCATGAAGGGGAGCCCAGTTTCTTCAGGAAGGCCTGACTCCTCAGAGACTCTTCCAACTTAACGGTGACTGTCCTCTTTCTTCTGGAAATCTGCAGGACTCTCTTGGCCTGTCGCAAAGCAGCGTCCCCCTTGCTGGTGTCCTTGGCTCCTCTCCTTCACAATCAGATATGACTGGCGGTGTAAAGCAAAGAAGGAAATTCTAACCTCAAGACGGCCCAGTTTTTCTTAGATTAATGGAGGGAGATTTAACAAGGGTGCACAGGAAGGGAGCGGACATCAGCAGCACTATGCTATGTGGTGCAGCAGCATTCTGTGATCTCTTATTATAATTTTCCTACTGCCGATCTTTCTATGTTTCTACCTCCATATGCCTCTGCCCGTCTTTTTCTCAGATTCTCCCTTCCTGTCTCATTCTAAGCCTGCTGTCCCCACTTCATCTCTACTTAGAGACATGGCACTGACCCTGAAGCATTACTCCTCTAAAAGTCCTTGGCTTATAATAATAATAATACAAATAATAATAGATGCTATTTATATAGCTCTTTTCCTGATGCTTAAAATACGGTACTAACAGTACTTATGGTACATGAACACCAGGACAGTGATATGAGTAACATCCTTGGAGCTCTCCTGATGTATACACATGTGTAAAGTCTACCATTATACCTCTATGAATGGACTGCATGTTTTATTGTCCAACTGAAATTACCAGCGCACAGATCTTCTTTGTAAATGAAATGCCCTGTGCTCACAATTGGTAAAAAGGATACATTTAGATTTTTACAAAACACAAAAAAGTGCAATGAAACAGATTTAGCCAAATAACGATGAGGTCCATTCATTTTGTGATCCTCTTAGACTGTGCACTAAAGAAGTCATGGAAGTTTGGTGTTCGTCTGCTTACTTCACCTTAGTCATTTAAGTCAAGGATGGAGTAGCTTCATATTAGTGACCATCAGTCAGTTTGTCTCTTTCACACGTACTTTGTCTCTGTGGAGATGGGACAGCTGTGCTTCACAGTGAACACCAGGATCACATCCACTATTTATTCATGTTTTGGCGATTACAATGTCCTCCTGCTGTCACTTGACAGATCTGAATGTACATCTTATTTCCCTTTTATAAAGATGTGAATAGAAAAGATATTCTGCTATGTGATCCTTGTTTTTTTCCACCGCTTCAATTTGCGTGTTGCTTGTCCTTATTTCTCTTTTCAGCATCACCACCTGGACCGTCTATACTGTCCTAACTTTTATTTAGTCCAGCAAGCTATTCCTGGCCAACCACACCAAACCCCCACCCCTTTCTCCCCCAACCTCCACTGGTGCTGAGCTGATGTTTCTCCATATTGTGCTAGAGAGGGAGAGGAGCTCGGACTTGGGAGCTTTCAGAGAGGGAAGACATGACCCAAATATGTCTTCTAGCTAGCTAGCCAGCCATAGTGCTGCTTCAAATTGGGCTGCAGCTCTCCTCTGCAATGACTGCATTGTGGTCCCAATGCCAGACAGGCTTTACAGTAATAGCAGAGGAAGTAGAGACCTTGGATTATTGATGTACTGTCCCAAACATCTGAGAGGCCTGCAATTGATTATAGCTGTAACAGGGCGGGAACTGGGAGTGTTGTCCATGTTTGAAATCACCTGTGTCACAAAGCAGCATGGCTGTTTGCGTGAGCTGCGGGGCAGGGCTGTGGGCGCGGCGTGGGTCAGACGTGGGGAAAGTGGGTTACATTCCAGGCATTTTCTTCCATCTGAAGCAACTCTCCTTCTGGTTTGTCTCCTCCACAACTTATCTTCCATCTTGTGCGTGTGTGAGAGTCCTTTGCCAAGCCCACTGGCTATGGAAAAACAATTTAACTGGATTTAATTTGTTGCCCCCCCTCCTCTTCCCTCCTTCCACTTCCCTCCTTCTCTCCTATTCTTTCTTTTGTGTGCCTCCGAGAGGTTGGGAATTCATCTTGTTTGGTAACTCCATGCCCAGTCCGAGCTGGCTTTTTTCTAGTTAGACAGGGCCAGGTTTCATGGCAGCATTAAGATCTCCAGTCAAGTGTGGTTTTTTTAGAAGAGTCTGCCATAAGTGGTGCTTAAATAGCTAGTGTGTTTATCCCTTTGCGAAACAATTTGGACACATACATTTCGATTATTTTATCTTAAAATATGCACATCTCTTGACTTCTAACCCTTTTTATTATCATAATTCATCAGTGTAAGCTCAATGCTGCTAAGGGTTTAAACAACACAATGAAACCAGTTGCCTAGAGCCCTGACCACTTTTTCCATTCTTGCTGGAAACTTTCCAGTGTTATTTATATGAAACCTCAGGCCCAGCAATCAAGAAACCCATTTGGCCGCTATAAAGTATCATCCATTATCCTAAAGTTCTGTTTCACTCATATCAGAAATGGTAAACACTCTAAACATATTTGCTCTATCTGGTAGATGAGTGACTGGATGTCAAGTGAAATCAATCTGTGACCTAACTACTGTTGTGTAGCCAAATAAAATACTACACCTAATCTGTGAGCAGTGAGAGCTCCAGCTCTTATTTTGGACTGAGGAGAAACAGAAACGCTTGTTTATTCATGTTGACTTTTTGGCGGACATATTTCAGAATGATAACATTATTATGGCTTTCATTTTTAGAAGTCGGGCCTGGAAGACATCACTGCAGTGTTTGGCTGCTGCCCACAGAATGTGTGCATGTTTGAATGGTATTAGTCCAAATCAACTAGTGAGGTTAGTAGACAGCCAATGCAGCTTCATAAACACCCTATCAAATGTGTTTATTTTTATTTTTAGCAATGCAGCACATCATTACTTTCAAATACAGGCTGCTGCACTGTGTATCAATGAAAGGCATTCCCAGAAGAGGGCAGTGGAAGGCACTCATGTTGTCCCTTTGACAAAACTACAAACTATTTCCAATGTTCTCATCAACACACTTTCTTTTTTAGTTAAGTTAAAAAACACTTCATTTAATCTTTAACAATCATATTGCAGAATTCCTGATAACATAGGAAGTCTTTGCCTTCTCCATTCCTAACTATCCTAACTAGTGGACTATCACTGCTGTCTGAACTTCACATGTGTTCAAGTAAACTGCACTTATAACCAGAACAGCAGAGAGACAAAGTGAAGCCTTTGACTAAATGTTAAGAGTGAGGTGATAAAATGTCAGAAAATCTAATAATGTAGCTTCAGTGATAGTACACCTTCACTTTGTGGATTCAATACAAAGTTATTGTTTTTAGTTTAGTTAACAGAATATAGAAACCGAAAAAGGAAATCGAATTAATAATAACAATAATAGAAATACATTAGTACTTTTTTATTTCATACAAATGGGTTGAAATAAGAAATTAAGCTTCATGAAAATAAAATGTCCCTAATACGTTAAAAAAGGTTTTACAATATAACATCAACTGTATCTTATGCAGCATGAGTGTTCAAATATTATATCGAATATTTCCTATTGCAGAAACTGAGTATTGGACTCTACACGGGTACAAATTACTAGAACACCTACATTATTTTTAAATTATGTTTGAATTACGTGAACATCTAAATGTTTCTGACCTGGCTCTGCCTCTGGCCAATGTGCATGCCCACGCCCACTCTCTCTTCCTCTCTACTCGCGCCTCTCCCTCTCCACTCAGCGCGCGGACGCCTCCATGGAGGGCTCGTGTAGCAGTCCTCTGCCTCACTACTTCCACGGCCACATTTCAACATGACTTAAGAAGCAACGCCTGGCTCTTCAGCATCCCAGCGGTACCAATTTACAACTTCTATGTTTGAACATTCCCCCCTGCTCCTCTGAAACCACTCCCCGGTACTTTCCTCCTTCATTTCCCGGGAGATAAAGCAGTTCCGTGGGAATAAGAGGCTCGTTTACTTCGGGGACCCGCATGGATGTGGCAGCGGCAGAGGGGATTTCTCTGCCGGGTATCCGACTGCGGAACCGGCCGAAGCAAGTGATGCCGAACCAGCGGAAGGTGAAGGCGAGACGGAAAAGACGAAAGGAGTTGGTGTTAATCCAAATCTGCTTGTTCGGGGGCTTGATACTGGTCGTGAAGGGGTTTTCCTTCTTAGCGGAAAATTCAGGTGAGGATTTAGATGTTTGTTCACTGGGATGCCAGGGAAGGGGAGCTGAATCCCCCCTGGTAGTTTGCTTGTCTGTTTCACTGCTGTATGGGCCATTCTACCGAATTGGACCAAAGTCAGGTTGGAAATGTTTTGACATTTTGTATGTTTTTTCCCCAAAACTTTGTCCATATATATTTTGTACCATATCTAAATTACACATATCTTGTAAAAGAACCGTACATTTTTATATCGTATTTTCAGACTGTATTGGAATGTTCTTCCTCTACCAAAAATGGTCACTACCGAAACATAGTAGGCTACTTACACTGTAGTAAAAAAGTATTATATTAACCTGTTAAGATTGTTTTACCTTCCCTTCTATAAATAGTATTTTAACAAATATTTCTTGAGGGTTTTCACAATTAAATCAATAAAATAAAAAATGTTAATCAAATGTCAAAGTTCAATTTATACAATCCATAAAAATCATAATGCAAACTTTCTTTGTAAAATGCATAATACTGATCATATTGATTCCAGAGTTGATGATTGTTGAAATTGAACATACATTAAACCAATCAATATCATATCATTTTAGTTGATAACTCAATATACTTAATTTTTTACAAAACATCCACTGTTTCGGTAGTGACCACAGTATTTTGTTCTCAAGGTTGTATCATATTCCCTCAACCTTATTGCTTAATCTTGACTCATAGCATGCCTTATGTTGAAGTGTGAATGTTTGAAGCTACTGACCCAGAATCAGCACTTTAGTAACAGGCTGAAATAGAGGGGGATGAGGCTAGAATGCATGATCTGTTTGGTATTTAGAGCAAAACACTTCATAGACATGTTTTTTATATATCTGAGACCTATAATATATGCCTAACAATAGTATAATAAGAGACCTTTAAAGTAACACACTGATTTTCAGACTTTAAAACACATTTATTTCAAAATGATGGGATTTACCTGCTTACCATTCCATTTGGTCACTACCGAAACGATCAAGTCAATTACCGAAACGTAACCATATGTTTCGGTAGTGACTGTTTCGGTAGTGACGATTCTAGCTAAAATTGAGCATAACTAAAGTAGTAATCAGCAGCGAACCGCTTCAACACGTGTATTTCGGTGTATTCACGGCATTCATTTTGTTATTCTACAGTATTGTTGTTTTATCGTTATTTGTTAATGTAACCCAATTTGTGTTCTTTGAAATTGAAAAGGATATCGCGTTGTGTTTGTTACTTTCGTTGCAGTTGTATATGTTTTAAGTGTAATTTGGCTTGGCTTCCTATAGAGTGGCGAAGTCCCTCCCCTTCCGGTGGAAAAATATGTATTGAAGTCAATGGAGAGAGAAAGATTATCTTTCGATCCCGTTTGAATTGTGCCACGAATTACACATATGATGTTTGTCAATTTAAAAGATAATTTTGCAAGTCAAAAAAAAAAAAAAAGTGTCGTAAAACTGTGAAGTAACACATTTTTTTGTGTGAAACGCTCAATGAACTACATCTCTGGTCAACAACACACGTCACCAAGATGGCCGTCACTACTGTCTTGTCAAAAAAGGGATTGACTACCCTCACGATCACCACAATGAAACACGTCCAGAAGAATGTCATGCAAAGCTGCCTGCCTGCCTTCCTTTGATTCTCTCTGAACTGCCTGGTCGTTTTAATGTTTAATGTCAACCATTTGTGCAGATAGCATGACGTAGAAAAGATCGCCGATGCTAATATAGCGTTAGCGTTAGCATTTCTCCCCCGGGCTTAAATGGTGTATTATAGAATGATCACACCGGTGTGACAGTACTCTTCAAAGGGTTCACGAAATATGACTACTCTTACTGTTTAACATTTTGGGTTACTTAATGTTACTTCATGTTAAGGCTAATAAAAATGACAAGGCTAAGCCGGCTGTAATACTAACTAACGTGCTTGCTTCTAGCTAGGTAGCTAACTTGATCCAGCCACTCCTGGTCCTTTCATCAGACGGGAAGCGAAAGAACGAGCAAGACCCATTGCTGGTATGATAACAACCTGGTACTAAGCACACAGGCATCTTGTTAAAGTTATCTTATCTTAGCTATCTCTATTTTAGTGGAGGAAAACAATTGTGACATCACTTACGCGACTCTGGGATTTGTAGTCTTTCTAGTTGCGTATATTTCATAGTCTTATATTTCAACAGTTTTACGACAAACTGACTTTTTTGACATGGAAATGATTTTTTAAGATTGACAAACATCATATGTGTAATTCATGGCACAATTCAAACGGGATCGAAAGATACGTTTTCTCTCTCCATTGACTTCAATACATAATTTTTCCGAAATAAGGTCCCATGGACCGGAAGTAGATAGGCGTGACTTCGCCACTCTATTTATGGGCATGCTTTTATTTTGAAGGAGAGTTAGCGCAGTTGACATGAAGTTGTTGCTTTGGAAACAACGTAACGGAGAAAAGTAATATCTACATATAAAGACGGAGAAAGTAAACGATAACGTTTATGGTTAACGGGCCGTCTCCACAGCAGCGTTAAAAAAATCTTGGAGGTGGGCGTATCTGAAGCTTGAGGATTTTTTGCGAGCAACCAATCACATGAATCTCCCGCCCGGGACATACGATTTGATTGGCTAGAGCTTGAACTGCCAGATTTGCGTACACGGGATTTGATTGGCTGCCGCTTCCACCTCAGCTTCAAAAGTTGAACATTGTTCAACTTTGAATCTTGAAAATCCTGAGAATCTCCGCTCGCCTGCCCACAATGCATTCCGGCGAAAAGTGAGGGAAAGTGACGTCACCCCATTCAAAGTGAATGGGCAGAAGCGTTTCAAGATTTTTTAACGCTGCTGTGGAGACGGCCCGTAAGTGTTAGCACCAGTGGCGTCACCTGGCCTGGGCATCCGGGGCTTTAGCCCCGAATGTTTTTTCTGTAGCCCCGGACAATTCTCCCTCAATAATATAATACATTAACCGTGCTTTACGTGAACCTCATCATGACACAAGAGAGGACGGCAGGACTGTAATTTCCCGTGTTCAGTGAATGCAACAGAGGCATGACACCAGACCAATCAGAGAGTTGCATGGAAATAAACGTGTGCTTGTGTCATTCAAGCTCGGCTCTGTGTGTGTGTGGCAATAGCGCATTTAGTGTGATAGAGAGAGAGAGAGGGAGAGAGAGAGAGAAAGGGACCGTGTTGTTAGCATCTGGTTAGCTAGCTGATAAACGGACATAAGGAGTTGTTTGTTCCACAACAAGCTGGAGGAGAGTCCTCTCCTCTCAGACTGAGAGACTCAGGTGAGCTAAAGGACTCTCTGAGTGTTTAGATAGTTTACTTTAGTTATCTCAGTGGGTCTCAAACGGTTTGGTCACAAATGATTCAAAAGATTATTTCCGCGGCACACGTTTATATGATCATTATAGTTATAAAAAAAATAAAGAGAATAAAGGAAAAACAGTTATGAAATACTATATGGCAGTAAAACAAGAATAGAGTTTAAAAGGGGAGTGATTTGTAAAATATCCTTAAAGAAAAAGTAAATCTGTTTACAGTTCTGTTTCAAATGGGTGTTGAGAGAGGTATTCATAGATCTCTTAATGTTGCTCTCAAAGTGCACCAGATTGATGCTTTTAACTTCAATATTTAAAAAAAAATCTTCCCGGGGGAGCATCCCCACGGACCCCCCTAGAGGAGGTTAGGTCCCCCCCCCACTCATAAAAAATAGCACTTTACCCCTGCCTGTGAGCTGATTATCGAGCCTTCATTGTAACAGTCGCGGGTATACTGTGTGTGTGCGTGTGGGGAGTGTTGCAGTAGAATATTCCACTGTAGCGCCGCCGCCACTGTGGGCTAAGCCCCGAATGTTTTCAGGTCCAGGCGACGCCCCTGGTTAGCACCCCCCGAAGAGGCACAAGCTCTTACGTTGATATTGGAGATTTCAATAAATTCAATTTGAAAAAACAAGCAAAAGGAATATCCGAATAACGAAATTGAAACCCGAATAGTACTCCAACGAACGAATATTCGGATATTCGGATATTCGGGTACAGCCCTACTGCCTAGTAAAAAATGCAGGGGTGTTGCTAAAAACCAGGCTCAGCCATTGGACTAAAACCCCTTGTGTTTCGGTAGTGACATGAAAACTGGGGACATGATTTTTTGAGTATAGTTTTTTTATTAAAAAATTAAACCCACAATAAATCTAAATATTCCAACTTCTGTTTGAATGTAATCATAAAGATCTTCTAAATACGCCATTGAACAAAAATAAATAAAAATGTTTTAAGTGTTATTTACAGAAATTGAAATTTAGATGCAGGGTTGGGGACAGCTACTTCCCAATAGAAAGTACCCTAAAAATGATGTTTTTGTATATATTAAGCTTATCACTAATTGAATGCCTTATGTTTAATTATAAAGCGGACAAGTCAAATCAAGCTATCTGATTGGTTCTTAGCCGTGATATAATGAGCGTATACCACGGGTAGAATTGTAGTTACTTTTCACAAGTCAGTATCCCTCCGCGTCTGAGAAAAGCGACAACCGTTACAACTGTTACATTACGTCCGTAACGAAACTAACTAACTTACAAAGCTTAAGATGGAAGCATGTAAGGGATAATGTGCAGCAAGGACTTATTGACCGTTATTACATGGCTTAGTTGTATACTAGGGATGGGAATTTGAAAGCAAATGTATATTCGAATATTCGACCCCCCAAAAAACGGTTAACCGGTTAACCGAAATGTACATATCCTATAAAAAAAAAATTGGGTCAAAAACAATTTCTAACATTTTATTTCGAAAAAAAAATTTCAATAACTTTTGGAAATAAATAAATACATGTTCAAATAAGTATAGAAACCAAGTCGAATTTGTCAAATGTATTGAACTGGTGATCACAGTTTGACAGCTATAGGCCTACAGCTTTCATGTGCGGAGGCGATTCACAATCAGGCCAGCTGTAGAGAAGACCCTCTCAGCTGGAACGGAGGTTGCGGTAGCAA